TCAGAAGTAAAAGACCTAGGCTTCTGATCTGTTACAAAGAAAGATATAGAAGAGTCATTTTTACCATCGTCTTTCAATATGCTTCCATCTTAACCATCTTGTATAAATATACATACGACCTTAGAGCATGCAGCAAAATAACATTGAGTGTGCATCTAGCTTACGATTATTATTGCTTATATTGCTGCTCATTTATATTATGCATGTGATTGTAAGCCTACGTGTATGTGCATGTGTGTGCGCGTGATAAGTGCGTGTGTGTGTGTGTGTGTGTGTGTGTGTGTGTGTGTGTGTGTGTGTGTGTGTGTGTGTGTGTGTGTGTGTGTGTGTGTGTGTGTCTGGGCTGTTGGTACGTGGTTGTAAACATCATCATCTTTGTTGCCATCATCATCATCATCATCATCATCTGCAGCAGGAACAGCAGCAGCAGCACATCATCATCATCATCATCATCATCATCATCATCATCATCATCATCATCATCATCGTCGTCGTCGTCGTCGTCACCACCACCAGTAGTACCAGCAACAGCAGAGTCATCATCAAAATGCCAAACATTTTTCTTTTTTTTGGGTCTCTTTTCTTATTTTTTTTCTTGAAGCATAGCATTGTCCTCATTCTATGTATATCCCTCCCCCCCCCTCCCCCCGTCCAGTCACTGTGCAGAGTGTGTTCTCAGCTCAGTACAGATGATGATGAGTCAGCAAACGGCGACGCTTTCTACGAAAACCCCAAGAACAGATTTAGCAGCATAGTTCCAAGTGAGTCATGAACGCCGACTTATTGATCCAACATTAATTGGTCGTTTTTTAAAGACAAGCAGATTTCGGGGGTTTCCAGAAATCTTGACCTACACCACAAGTGGGCATTGCCCTACCTATAGGAGAAGTTTGGTTTCATTGGTGTGCATATTTGTTTGGTTATAGACATAACTCTCCTTGTCTTTTAACGAAACTAATCAAGGGGCAAAAACTATACCTTCGATTTTCTCACAACAGCATTCTTCAGGATAGCCCCCTTGTGCTTAAAAGCGACCAATTATTTCTATTACAGTGGAGCCCGCTTAAACTGAAACCGAACACGTTCGTTTAATCCGAAAACAGTTAGCAGGGAAGCGGATAAAGTATAAAAAATACAATCCACAAATTATTTATTATTATTCTTTTTCAGCAATCTCTTTAAACCTAAAAACCTTGCTAAACCATAGTAAATCTCTGGCGGTTCTGCATTTTTCAGAAATGTTACTGATAATGTGTGTGTCATTTGTAATAATTACATCCTGTTTTTACGGAAGTCTCTTCAGTAAGATGTTATTGTTGTTGTTGTTATTTTGTTGTTGTCGTTGTTATTGTTGTTGTTGTTGTTGTTATCGTTGTAGTTATCGTTGTTGTTGTTGTTGTCGTTGCTATTATTGTTGTTATTGTTGTTGTTGTTGTTGAAGATGGTGTTGTTGTTGTTGTTGTTGTTGTTGTTGTTGTTGCTGTTGTTATTTGTGTTATCGTTGTTGTTGTTGCTGTTGTTGTTATTGTTGTTGTTGTTGAAGATGGTGTTGTTGTTGTTGTTGATGTTGTTAATGCTGTTGTTGTTGTTGTTGCTGTTGTTGTTGTTGTTATTTTTGTTGTTGTTGTTGTTGTTGTTTTTGGGGATTTGGTTTATCACAGTTGTATTCAAGTTCCTGTAATAACAGGGGCTGTTATAAATGGACTGGACTGTACTTTCTATTTAAATGTTAACCAACGTGTTTTGTTTTTCCCTGTGTGTGTGTGTGTGTGTGTTTGTGGTCACAGAGAATTCCCATCGGCCTCATCTGGCGCCAGAGGGGAAGGCCACGGGAGACTACATCAACGCTGTCTGCCTGCCTGTGAGATAGTCATAGTCATTAAGTAGTCTCTGTCGGTCTGTCTGTCTGTCTGTCTGTCTGTCTGTCTCTCTCTCTCTGTCTCTCTCTCTCTCTCTCTCTCTCTCTCTCTCTCTCTCTCTCTCTCTCTCT